TTAATATACCAAGCCTCACACATAATATGGAGCTTTGGAAATAATTCTTTTTGAAATGCAGGGGGCTTGCTGTGAGTGTGGTATTAAAAGTGAGGCAGATTTTTCTCAAAACTTCTCAGCCTCTGTGTGAGGAGCACGATTTAGTTTTTCAGGTGCTTTGAAAATATCAGCCCACTGCATAGTGAGTCAGTTAAATTTATTTAACTATATATAACATAACTACGTTATTATATTATTATGGTAGTATATACCTATAAAATATATAACAATATTAATTATGGTTATATTAATATAACTCTATAATTTCTTATTTATTTATTAATGATATTATTTAACTATATATAATATAAATTTATTTATATCAATATTGATATATTTGCTGTTGCATTCAAAAATATTAAGTGGAATATTCTGTGTAGGTGGAGCCAGGTGCTGGCTGTTCTGAATTGGTGTTTCTGAATTTATTTGTGGATATATTTTATTGTACCGAGCCCATCATTATTCATGCCCAAATCCCAATGGATGCCTGTAGGTATCCACATAATTTTCATGTCTCAGCTCTTCCCTCAGCCTAGACCAGCTGCAATAATGTTGATTCATGGCTGCAAATCCCTCCAAGGGAGAGGCCTTAGTGACACAACTCATTTTGTGTTAGTGCTGTGGCCATGTGGGATTCTGTCCCTGGGGCATCCACAGCATCCCTGCAGTCCAAAAATGGGACAGGGATGGTGGAGAGAAGGGAAGGTGGAGGAGGGGATAGGAGAGAGCATCTGGTGTGTGGTGGGCATTTGGGTTTGGGGAGAAAAGGCAAAAGAAGGGGTTGTAATCTATATGGCAGTGTGGTGCATTTTTGGGCTACAAAAAAACAGAGGCCAGACAGAATTAAGGCAATAAAAAGCAGTTCTATTTATTGAAGGACCTTCAGGTACATTTAGGGCAGACAAAGCCCCCCAGGGGCTACACCCAAAATGGACCATGGCTCACAGGTTTGCACACTTTTATAAGTTTGGGCCATTTGCATATTGGGGGTCAATCTGACAATTCCAGCTTCAGGTAATGAAGCCATGTACCCCCAGTTTCCTCCCCCCAACTCACTTTTGTTTCCATCTCTGGGGCCTGAGGCAGTGAGGTGTCCTTGAGTGCCAGGCCTGGAGAGGAATCGTTGTGTCTGCCCAAAATGGGAAACCAGCAGCTCACACTGTGTGTGGAGTTTAGAGTTATACACTAAAGAGCTGCAGGATTACAAATACATGAAAAATATAAAAGCTAAAATGCTAAGGCAGGACAGCACAGGGGTGACAGGACATGAGTGGACAGTGAGGATGGAGCTGCTCTGCTGGCAGAAGCTGTGCGTGAAGCCTCTCCTGCACTGTGGTTCTGTTGTTCCATCTAGCCTGGAACATTGGAAAAACAGAGGGAGAAGAACCCAAAAATCAGTGAGTTCTGTAGCAAAAGTGGCCAGCTTAGCCGAATCTCTGTACATCCTTTTCCATACCAAGGGGACTTTATCTTCAGACTGAATTGTTCTAAAATTTGACTAGCATGTAGTAGTACAATATTTTACTTTATATTATAAATTGGGAAGATGTGGTAAATTAATTTTAAATTGCTGACATTTGGAAGCTTAATATCTTCTAGGATATTTTTTCTTCTGTTTTCAGTTTTAGCTTAGAGGCTAAATTAAAATGAGCCAACACCTCTTTGTTTTTGAAGTTGTTTCCAACAAATTTTGACTAGTGAGTATGTCTGATATTTTAGGTACAGAATTGGATAAATGCAGCTTGTGTGTACCTCTGGAAAGGCTTAAGGGAAGTAAATTCAAATATTCATTTGCATGAAAAGATCACACCATTTTCTCCTGGTAAAATGGTATGAAGGGCAGTGCAGATTTTACATCCAGGGGAGGAACACACAGCTTCTGGAAGGTTTCTGCTGTCACGTTGTAGTCATTTTCCAGAATGCCTTCAGAAGGAAAGAATTTTCTATCAGAAAATAGAAAATAACTTCCTTCTAATTTCATAGCAGAGGTTATTTAGGGCTTTTTTATTGATGTATCTTAAAAATGTGATGACAAGTGTACATTTTGTTTTCTCTTTCTACATCCAGCTCTGGAATTCCTGATGGAGAACGTGTCTGTGTGTCACTTACACACAGTTGCAGGGCTGTCTGTTATAAGAAATTCAGACTTTAATCCTTTTTCATGCATTTTTCAGAGGGCCTAACTGATGGGGTAAATCAAAACAAGTATCCAGTCAGGTAATTTCCCTAAAGCACAGCTGGTTTTGGCTGTCAGTTCTTCCTCCCTTCATAGGTGTTCATTTATCATTTGGCAAGACATGTGGTGGGGATTTTTTTAAAGCAACTGGTTTTGAAATAAAGCCACAAAAATACCTTCTTGGTGAAAGCTTATTTCTAAAACTTACCAGAGGATTTATTGCACAATGTCAGCATTCTGCACTAATTATTTAATATATCCTTAGATTTTCCAGAATTAGGCCTTGAGCTTTGAGTTCAACCAAAAAAAAAAAAAAAAAAAAAAAAAAAAAAATTAATCCAAATTTTAATCAAGTGAAGAGTGATACTTTATTATTAGAAAATGTTCTGTGTTGAACCATTTATCCACCTGAGACCCTGTAAGGTATTTTCAAGTGGGTCAAATCATTCAATCCATGGGATTGTCATGAGGAGTCAGTGGAAAGGCAGTGATTTCCCACATCATTATTCTCAAGTAGAGGTGCCACAGCTGTGTAGCAGTTATTCATAAAGGTTTCTTTTCTTTAAGAGACCTCATCAGCCTTGCCTAATTTTCAAAGACTGTCAGCCTTTCTTTCTTTCTGTGGAAAGGTGCTGAGTGTTGCCACCACAGAGCTGTGCTGAATCAGGTGATCCTTTAGCGATAAATAAAAGGAACTTTCTGATCAATGGGGAGTCTCTTAACCTTTGCTGCCCAAGCAGAATAAATTTGTTCTGTATCTTGAAGATGCTTTGGTGGTCTGGAGACTTGGAAAAAAAATCATCAGGATGTTACTAGTTAGAGCAACAGAACAGGAGATTAAATTCATTAAATAGTAATGCAAAATACAAAGAAAAAAACCCTTAATCTGGCATAAAAATAGGCAGTGGAAGCACTATGTAAAAAGGTAGTGAGGCAGTTTAAAAGTGTGCATAGATTTATTTCACTGTGACATTTGTGTTCATTTGTTTGTGCTCATTTGTGCTCCTCTAGAGGGATGCAGGCTGTGACATTGTGTCCCTACAGTTCTGGGGTCCAGCTGAGCAAAGCCCAGTGAATTTGGACACCTGCTCTGCACCTCTGCTTTTGAAAATCCCTCAGACTCAGATGCAAATCCTGCCATCATCTCTGTGCTTGTGCTTAGCTCTGTGCTCAGTCACCCACAAATGCTTGTAGGGATTTATCCTGCTTTGTGAGAACAATGATCCCAGTTTGCACAAAAATCTCACAGGTGTAAGAGGATTTTTTTAAGACTCTTTTGTTCAGCTTCCACTTTTTAGGATGAAATGATAAGGAAGACCCTCAAATACAGGTGATTCATACACTCAGTTTTCTCTGGTAATTGTCCACTTTTCAGCTGACTGATTGAGATTGACTCTGGGAATATTTCAAGTAGTAAAACTGTTTCCCATTGGGATAACTCTGTGCTCTTTATACATTAGGACAATATTGTGCCTTAGGGTTTGGCCAGACAAAAACCCTCCTGTTGCCTGGCTGCCAATTAGCAAGAGAGCAAAACAGCATTTATGTTTTACAACAGACTCCTCAGTTGTAAAAATGTGATTTTTAAGTGCTGCCAAGGGCTTGGGTGTAAAGTCCAGCTCCTGCTTGGCCTCTGAGCTATTGCAGCACTGGAGAGCTGCAGCCTCCTGAAAGGCTTTTATTCCTGGCTTTTCTTCAGCTTCCCAGCATCCACACTTCATCCTGCACTTTTTATGCCTGTCATAAGTGCAGTGGATGAGAAAACAGAAATGGATCAAGGAGCAGAGCTCTCATCTGTGGGTGTAGCTGGATTCACACGTGGCTGGAGCTACCCTGGCAGTCAGGATGGCTTCATTATCCATGAGCAGTATGAGAGGAGAAACTTTGGGGTGGTGTTTGAGGGTCCCCAGGATGAGGGAAGAGATTGGAATCTTGACTCTATGTTTCAGAAGGCTGATTGATTATTGAATGATATATATTATATTAAAAGAAAATTATATACTAAATCTATACTAAAGAAAGAGAAAGGAGACATCAGAAAGCTAGAAAAGAATGAGTAATAAAGTCTTCCGACTGGAGAGTCTGACACAGCTGGCTGTGATTGGCCATTAATTAAAAACAATTCACATGCTGAGGAGACATTTCTCCAAATCACATTCCAGAGGAGCAAAACATGGAGAAGCTGAAGCTTCCCAGGAGAAGAAATCCTGGCAATGGGATTTTTCAGAAAATATGTCAGTGACAAAACTTCATACCATGCAATATGATAGGATAAAGTTTGACTAAGAAAAATTATAGGGATAATACTTCATGCTGCAGAACTGTTCTGCAATTAGCCCAAATCCTTGGGAGTTACAGAAGAGTCAGGCTGAGTGTCCTGAGAGTGCAGAAGGGATGTGTGCAAATGCATGGACATGTCAGCAGACATACCCACAGAATATTTTACAGGTACTGATCTCATCAAAATTCTGCTGATAGCAGTAGATGATAAAATAGCATTAAAACAATTATTTTAATTAATGTAATAATATAAATTAATATATAAAATATAGATTTACTTAATTATATAATATATTACATATATAGAATTACATATAAATAACATAAATATATAAATTAAATGTAAAAATAATTAATTATAAATTAAATAATATATAGTATGTATTAAAATATAATTAAATTATTTATATATATAAAATTAAAATTATATAAATTAAATTATAAGTTATAATAAATTAAAATAATTCCTGTTGCTTTGTTCTGTTTGGAACTGGTGGTGAAACAGAGTTCTGGAAGTTGCCTTGCATTCTGTGCTCTCTTCCAGTGCTGTCCCCAGCAGGGAAATTGGGCTGTTCACATGGAGTTTTACAGACTGAGGTAAAGCTGCTCCTCTGTGTCTCTGCTTCTTCTCCTGCACTGAAAGCCAGGGCACAGTGGAAGCTGTGTGGGTGGCCACTTGAGCCACCAGACTTGTGACTTGAAGTGCCCTCTGATTTTTCATTTACTGAGCTGCTTTGAAATGGAACCATACAGGTTCCATACCTGTTTTCCATCCCATCAACCAGAAACGCTCAAACTGGAATTATTAAGGATATAAATGCTATGAACTTTTTTTTTTTTTTCTTAGGTGGATGATAAACTGCTTGTCCTGTGAATCATCAGGAAATGAACCTCAAATTGGGGTCTGTGTCTGGTGAATCAAAGATGACTCTGAGCTAATAAAAGGTTATAGCTTGACTTCAATAATGGTGGTTTCCAGCTGGATAAAAGCCTGGGTGGATTTTGTTTGTGTTTGTCCAGAAGTCTGTTGAGGCTGAGTGTGCTGGTGGAAAATTGCAGATATTCCCCCATCACCTGTAGCTGCTGGGAGCACTCAGGATTTGGATGAACTGGGATTTTTTAATGCACATGCACTGAGGGTTTATGTCTCATATGAATGCTGTGGGAGCAGTGCATTACTTAGCCTAAGAAATAAATATTGCTGATTGATTTTAGTTGTAAAAATCAGTATCCTTGAGACTGTTAAGGGACTTGAGAGGTTAATGTAACCAAAATGGTGAGAAATAAACACTAATTTTTAATGCCATAAGACAAATATTAGGAATAGTTTTCATTTCACAAGACACTAGGGAAGACTTTAGATTTTCTAATATTCCTATATTCAAAAACAAGACCAAATATACTAATTTTAACTTGGACATTAGCCCTTCTGTGATTACTAATACCACTACTGTGCAGGTCTGTCATCATGCACCATGTATTATTCAGAGGCAAAACAGGTCTCCAAATCTTCTTTCCTGCATCAGAATTGACCTTCTCATTAGTTGGAAATAACACTGTGATAGGTAATCAATATTTTGTTGAAATGCCAGCATCTCATCTTGGGCATTACTCATCCTTACTTCTGAAAAACACTCAGGCTAAAAGCAAAATGTTTAGATGCAGCTGTGTGTGGCAAATCTGCCCTTATACATACAAATTATGTGTAGGCAAGTGTTATTTGGAGGGTACAAATTGCAGATTTGGGTCTCTGATGCTGTGTGTCAGCCTGACCTTACACTCCAGACCCTGTATGGGAATGGGAATCAGGTGCCCTGAGAGCAGCCAGGGGCTTGGTTAGAATGGCTGCTGGGCCCACTACAAAACAGTTCAATGGCAGCTTGGTTTGGGGTTTTTTGTTGTTTTCTTGGTTTGTTTTGTTTGTTTATTTGTTTATTTTTTCTGTAGAGGCTCGTAGAAAATCACCATTTTTCTCCTTTGCACATTTAAAACTGTGTCAGATAAAAATTGATTCGTGTATTGACTGTCATTCCAAATTGTGATGTCAGTTCATTTTTTGCATCTTAAAAAGCACCTCCACTTGCCTGTTTTCTGTAAAGCTCAATTTAGTCCTGCTGGAGCTGTAACCACACAAGGGGTTTTTGGGGATGGAGCCCCTCTGATCTCCAGTGGGGCAGAGAAATGAGGCTGAAGAGGGGCTGGGAACACAAACCGTGTGAGGAACCCCTGAGGGAGCTGGGG